GGGGCGTCACTTTTTGGTCCGCACGGATCATTACAGCCTCAAGTTCTTGCTGGACCAACGCCTCTCCACCATGCCGCAACACCAATGGATCAGTAAGCTGTTTGGGTTCGACTTCGCCATGGAATATCGCCCCGGACGGCTTAACACTATGGCGGATGCTCTGTCCCGCCACGACGTCGAGGACGGCGCTGCTCCAGGGGCGGCTGTGCACTTGCTGTCCACGCCGACATTCGCCCTCCTCGACAACATCCGCGCGGCTACAGCAGCAGTCGGGGACGCTCAGCTTTTCCTTCAGTGCCTCCAGGAAGGCGCGTTGGCCGCATCCTGGCGTGTCGACGACGGTCTCCTGCCCCACGGTGCTCGCATATTCGTGCCAGCTTATGATGACCTGCGCCACCAGGTGCTCCTCCTGGCTCACTCGGCGGGCCACGAGGGAGTCCAGAAGACGCTCCATCGCCTGCGCTCGGACTTCTACATCCCGGGCGACCGCGCTCTTGTCAAAGACTTCGTGCGGGCGTGCGCCGTGTGTCGGCGGAACAAGACGGAGTCCCTGCAGCCTGCTGGATTACTCTAGCCCCTCGACGTTCCGTCCCAGGTTTGGGCGAACATCTCATTGGATTTTATCGAGGGCTGCCCAAAGGTCGGTGGCAAATCAAATCATTCTCCGGGTGGTCGACCAGATTCTCCAAGTACGCGCACTTCATCGCCCTCGGCCATCCCTACTCCGCCGCCTCGGTTGCACGCGCATTCTTCGACGGCATTGTTCGTTTGCATGGGTTCCCTTCTTCCATCGTCAGCGACAGGGACCCGGTTTTCACTGGTCATGTGTGGCGTGACCTCTTCAAGATGGCCGGCGTCACGCTCCGCATGAGCACGGCCTTCCACCCGCAGACGAGCCGGTCGATGCTGAGGTGGTCAATAAGGTCATCGCAATGTATCTTGATGTGTGTCACATGTGACTGCCGCATAGCGTTAGTGGGTCATTTGCCTGGGCGAGTCTTTGCTACAACACCTCCTTCCACACGGCACTGCGCGCCACACCTTTTGAGGTGGTCTACGGCCGGCCACCTCCGGCCATCTTGTCCTACACGGCCGGGTCGGCCAAAACGGACACGGTGGACGGCCTTCTTCGGGATCGCGACGAGGTGCTCGCGAAGATTCGGAAAGGCTTCTCCAAGCACAAAGCACGGTGTCCAAGAAATACTACGACGCGTCCCCACCGCGACAAGGGAGTTTGCCGTCGGGGATTGGGTATGGTTGCGCTTTGCTCCGCAGACCCACCCCTCGAGCCCAGCGCCAAAGGAAGCTTGGCCCTCGCTTCGCCGGTCCGTTCAAGTCTTTGGGCGCATCGGCCGGTGGTATGGTGCCTCCCAGCTTCCGGGCGCCCGTCTGCATGATGTCTTCCATGTGGGGCTGCTTGAAGCCCACAAAGGTGATCCCAATGGCGCTGCTCCTCTGCCGCCCGACATCGGATGGCGGCTGCTGCCAGCTCCGAAGCGCACCCGTCGTGCACAACTTCAATGAGATATGTAGCGCGTGCTTGTCAAATGGCGCGCCTGCCCGGCCGGAGGATAGCGACATAGGAGCCCTCTCCGATCTTCGCGACGTCTACCCGACTTCCAGCTCGAGGACGAGCTGTTTGCGCAGGAAGGGAGAGATGTTATGACCAGCATCCCCTATGCCAGGCGCAGGCCCAATAGTGGCTAGGGGGCGGCTACATTAAGGGGCTTAGAGGCCCAATTTATCACTTATTTGTTATTTTCTTAGAGATAGATATAGTTCCTTAATTATAGCGTCTATAGGGAAGGATAAATACTTGTAATCTGGGATGATTGGAAGATAAGCAGCAGCAACCTAATTTGTTGCGGCTTCCCCTGGGAGCCCCTAACCCGCACCCCTCTGTCCTCCTGCGCCGTGATCACGGGCGCCCGTTCATCGTCCTCGCTTCCTAAGCTTCGTCCACGATCTCTCACCCTACACCCTCGCAACAAGCCTGGTAGGATCCGTAATCCTATCAGATCCATGCAAAATAAAGAGATCTAACTAATAAGATAAGTGGAAGTTCAATATTTCTGTCAGGTCTTTACAGGCAGTTATTAGAGAAAACCTAACATACAGATTTTGCCTCATCGAACAGGGTCGATGTTGTATATTCTGCCGACTTATCTGCTGATTCTTGGATCGAGAAGGAGGTACATGTTGGAATTGCACATCAGAAGCATTGGCTAGAGTTCCTTGGGTAGAATTATGACGCTACTCACCAGTGTATGGTTGATGATCGAGTTCGTTATCTGGGATATGCATTTGGTGCAGTCCAGTGCTGTTTCTGTAGTCCTTGAGTGGTCATTGGAGGTGATAGTTTCCTTTTCCTCATATCTGAACTGAAGGCTCATGAGCCATGTTTGTGCTCTGTTCTTGGGGACAGATGCTTGATGCTGTAAATGTTGGACCTGAATTTGGTCCTGGTAGCAATGCTAACGGGCCAGGGGTTCTCCCTGGAACTCTAAAACACTCACCAGTCTATGGCAAAAATGCCCTATTATATGAAGCATACATGACCCCAAAAAAAGGAAAGTAATTGAGCCAGTTACAGCATGCAGGGAGGCCAGTACATCTTAATCCTAGCTGTGTCATAACCAACTGTTTGAATCTTTAGAGATTCTACGGAAAGGAATTTGCAATAGAAGTGCAATATACAGGAGGGCTTAGCCCTTCCACCCACCAAGCGTCATTGGATCAGTGGAATGAAATTCAGGTGGGGATCGGCTTTGATCCCCCTGTCGTTGACCTCAAAAAAAATATATACAGGAGCATTTTGCTGGTCCAAAGTAATGCAGTTTGTTCCCATTTCATCAAGAGGCATTTACTATAATATTAATTTTGGCACTACAATATTTCTCTGGACACGGGCACATGATTTTTGGAGCAAATGCTCTTGAAATGAGTTCATATCTGAACACAGATGAAATACATAATATGTAGGTACTGAGTGTTTTGCTGGTTCTTTCACTTATGTAGGTCGAAGCTTTGGTGGCAGATGGCTGCCCGAAAGTGTGGGTAGTAACATCCGATGCACTGGAGCAACAATTAGCACATGGAGAAGTATGTTTTCTTCCTTTCTATGATAAGTTGCTTTATTTATCTCTACCAGGCAATAGACATTTTTTCAGTATTTTTCTCACAAAAAAATATATTTTACTTTTGTTATTAAGTTCTGCCACAAATCTTATGATAGTGTCATGGAATAAATTTTGCCAGAAATGCTAAGCTGGTAATATGCTAGCTATGTTTACATTTGTGAGAAATTATCATCAGAACAAGATGAATGGTGGAGAGCAGTTGAAAGTTTATACTTACAGCATACAAGATGGTGTTTGTTGCTACTTTCTTTTTCACCACATATTCACATGTTGCATTCGTGATGATTTAAAAGTAGTCTATATTGTATATTTTGTAGGGTGCTCTTATCTGGAGCTCTAAAAGATTGGTGAAAGAGGTTAGTCCTGTTTTTTTTTTTTGGCATTTCGTGGATTTGAATTTCTCAAGCGATAATATATTTTCTTGTGGCTCCATGAATAAAAGAATCGGAAAAGGAACTTGATCTAGAACTGAAGGAAACCAGGTCTTGAGTTACATCTTTGCAACGATGTTGCATCATTTTGTTTTAGAAGATTTGCTTTCTCCATCAAAGAGAGAGAACTTTACCTATCCACCTGTGGAGCAGCAAGAAATGCTGCATCCCTAAATTTCGTTCTGATACATTCTATATGAATCTAAAATTGACAGGTCGACGTCGTTGCAAGGAAAACTCCTGCAGCACAAGCTGAACCCAAAGGTTGTGCACGCACTAAAAGGTCTTAGGAATAAGCTTGAAGAACAAGAGCGGAGAAAGAAGTGATCACTAACTAATGTACCATGGTTGACAAGTGAAGAGGAAGAGAGCAGGTGTACATAAGTGCATTTGTGCGCGGACATCAACTAACACTGGAGACTGGAGACTGAATCCATTGACAACGGAGAGAGGAGCTAAGTTCGATGCGAGCACAAAGGCCATTATGAGAAGGCGGAGAAGAGCATCAGGAGTATGCTAACATCATGTAAATGAATCTGGTTTCCTTTGGGGTGCAGGCAGTTTTGTGTAGACACCATCAGTGGCCTGTGGAAAATAAAACCACGCATGATATTGATGCAGCTTGTTATTGTTAGCTGCTGACGTTCTGAGATGGATTGCAAATCCCAATCAATGGATCCTTGTATATTACTCCCTCCGTACCAAATTATAAGTCACTTTTTTTTTTGTACATCCGTATCAAAAACTAAAAAAGCGACGGAGGAGTACATTTTTTGTGTATGTATGTGTTATTGCCATAACAGTCAAATCCTTCATGTACTGGTTCACCGCACGACAACTAGCAGTGGCAGGTCCAATTCAATTCAAGGGTATTCAGCTGAATAACCATTACTTTTTATGAAAAAGTTGTATATATTGATGTACTCGAAAAATGTAGTTGAAAAATTATAGGAGGTCGCCTGTGTCAGGAGGGCCGGAGGAGGAGGCCGCGGGCCAATCCCTAGCATTCCCTCCCCGGTCCTCAATCCAGGGCTCCAAGCTGAACATGCATCTGAGGGCAGCGATGCAGGCGCCGCTGACATCCACCTTCATCAGGGCCTTTCGATGGCAACCTACGGCGGAGAATCAAAGGTTGGGGTAAACTCGCCGCCCCCTCGGCCGCGGTACGCCTTGATATAGGTGAAGGGGTGACCGGTCAAAGGAAAAGAAATAAGGGCAATAGGACACGAACGAAGAGAAACAGTGAAGATTTGCCGCGCTCTATGAGACTATTCTTTGGGAGCCTTAGAATACAACCATTGCAGGCAATATATGGATGTAACATCAAAACATGACACCCTGATTTTTTTTGTCAGCGGTAAGCTATCTATATAATTCTGCAGATTAACAATAACAAAGATTACTCAAAAAAAAATACTACAAGCTGATTTTAAGCTTCGCTTGATCTTGTATCGTCAGCATATTCATTATCTTGGGTTTCATCTAAGTTAGCCTCAGTATCCCCATCAGCATCCATATCTGGGCCGGCTTCTGAAGCTTTGTCTTTGGTGGAAGGAGGCACATGGCTACTCGCAGCCCTGCTGGTGTAATTGCTGTCTTCTGTAATGTTAGCCCCGGTGTGTTTTTCAATCATTCCAGAAATAGCTAACTTCGGAGACCATTCAAGAACATCATCAATTATGTTAGAAACCTTCTTTTGGTACCTAACAAGAGAGAGAAACAATAAAAAGGTTAATAAAGCGATTCAGAACATTCAATCAAACTTCATTGCTGGTGACAATGTACGGAGGTCACTAACATCATTAACCATGTTAAGGATACTCACGCAGCATGAGTTACCATCTAAAATCATGCGTCAGATAAATAAATTAGATTGCAGTAAGAGAGACACCATCTTATCGATAGCTATATGATTTGCTGAAAATTTGGACAAGGCCTATAGCAATTTTTGAAGTAAATGGCATAGTAGTTTTAATTTTTGGTAGTTATTAAACCTAATGGATTGAACATTTCCAGGCAGATAGAGCAATCGGCAACAAGTATTGTGATGCCTATCATATTGTTTTATGTGGAATTTGTGGAAAGAAAGAAACCAGTGAATGTTCCAAAATGAAAGCTCCACGCCTCATGGTAGCACTACGCTGCATAAATGAAGACAGAGCAGTAGCAGCGTGTTTGCAGTAGCAGCGTGATTTCCAAAACATGTAATGTGGGCCTAGGCGAGCAGCAGCAGCATGTTTCCCAAAACATGTACAAGGGCCTAGACCTTTGACTGTATCCTGTGTGAGCTTTATCCTGTGTGAGCTTTCTTTGTTTGTCCCATTAACTTTCTGGGGACATCGCTAGTCCATTGGAGAAAAAGTGTGTTCTTTCTTTCCCTACTTTAATGCAAGGCAGAGCTCCTGCCACTGTTCTTCCAAAAAATAAAAGCAAGGGTGGAGATACTGATCGCAGAAAACAAATTACCTGGCTCTAGCTGCTTCGTCAGGAGCATGGTGCCTAAGCAGTAATATCACCAATAGAGCAACAAGAGCATAGAAAAGTCTTGATGTCCACTTTGGCGCTCTCCTTCATCCTTTTCAGGCCAAAAAGCAGGCGAGTTCTCTAAATGTTGTCTCCTCTGCATTTATATTGGGGAAGAACCACACGCGTTTCCCAAGGAGAACCCATAAGATGCCAAAGATAGCAGCTCTTACTGCAATTACATTGGAAATATTAGAAAAACAGGGATTACTATAGAGATTTAAAAAATAAATGCTAAGCCCAGCCAGAAGAGAGATGAACCCTGGATACATAAAACAGCAAAGCTAAAAAATTAAATGATGGAATATATCATTATTATCAAGTTAAAAAATGGACAAAAGAGAACCATGAACCACTACAGCATAAACAAACAGAAAGAAAGAACAACAAAAATTCAAATGGTAAAACTGTGGCATCATAACAAATGCAAAATAATATCACTGGTAATCTGTAATGCTCTCTACAAGGATATATAAAATAAAATCAACATGTAGCACCAACATACACCAAATATGAAGAATTTCAAACCTGTTTATGATATACATACAAAACTAAGAAATTCTAAAGAAGAATACTGAATCAGTGTTTACCAAAAAAAAAAATTGATACCTGATTTCAGGTCAGCTTAAATTCAAGAAAATTTGGTAAATCCTCAACACCCTATGTCTTGGTAACTAGGACTATAAACCAGGAGAAAATTTGGTAAATCCTCAACACCCCATGTCTTGGTAACTAGTTTATTGCAAGAACAATATTATAACTACCATGGGCAATATTTCCTATCAACAATGCATACCACAGCAAGCTCACAAACTTATGATTTCTTCCCCTGGCTCCAGAATAGTGATCCAAAACAAATATGAAATATCAATTGTACAAGTTCTGAGCAATTCTTCTGTGATACACCACAGCTACCAATTGTGTTGTGAAAACAAATTAACAAACGCAAGCAGGGAATCTACATTGCCAGCTAGTTACCACTGGCAGCTCTGGTTTATTGGGTGGAGTCACGTAAAAAAAAAAATCATCACGGTCAAAAAAAGAAAAGTTAGGATGTGCTTGAATTGGAAGGGTTAAAAAACAGATAATTTATCGTAATGAAACAAGTGAATGCTACTCTAGTGTTGAGCCCATGGTTCCCACACACCAAAAGTCTTGTGTCTGAATCCTTCCTCCAGTTTTTCCTTTTCTTTAAACATTCACATTGATGCACTGAGGTGTGAGTTCCACACTAAAAGTGTTGTGCAAACATCACTTCAACAACAACCAAACTCAGAAAGTTTGGTGGAGGCTGGAGGGGAATAGTACCTATCCACCTAGCATGCTGTGCAGTTTTTAATTGAAGTATGAATCTTTGTTTGTTTGTTTATTGAACGGTAAACAATACTCATTAATCAAAGATGCATATGACTAGGGTGTGACGCTGGAAGTGTGCACGACACTACACAGGCAAAAAATTGTAGCTCGTTACTCAAATATGCCTAATGACTAAAATGTGATATTGAAAGTGTCTACTGAAGCATAATGTTTGACGTGAATGAAAATACAGTTGGAGAGGGAGGGTGAGAGATTTTACGCAAAAGAATGGAAACAATGAACAGTAGAGCTCCAGCACATGAGTACAGTACAACAATCTTGCATTGGTATGGGTAAACTGGAAATAAGCAGACTGCCAGTGCAAAAAGGGGCCAAACAAATGAAAGAATTGTCTGCCACAAGGTCCGCCTTTTCAGAAACATCCAAGCAAAAAATCCATCATTTTCAGTAAACACTTGTTCCTGCAAGAACAAATAAGAACAAACTTCAGGAAGAAAATAACATTGTAACACATTCTATAGTGAGTTGTTATGCGTAATCTCACTTTATCAAAGAAAATATCACAAGATTCAGAAGAAGTAAAACTTTATACATACCAGAGCTCTAACAAAGACATCGATCCATAAAGACAAACAAAATACAACAAAGACACTTGGTCAAACCTAATTAACACCATACTGATTTCAATATGAGGGGAATAAGGGAACAGATAGAATTAATTAGAATAGAAAACTGACACAACAGAAGAGTAGAGAAGTTATTAGTTGGCAATGACGGATTTTGCCAAATAAAAAGTGTGATTCTTTAATTTACTTTATATTTGATTTGAAATCTCACTGATTTTCCCTCATTCAAAATATTTCTTACTGTCATAGTAATTACACCTATTAACTATAAGAATCATAGAAATCAGATGGTAAAAGACAAATTTCTGCATTATGTTAGACTAGCATACCGTATTTCAAAGTAATTGTAGCAAGCAGAAATGTTAAGATAATTAGAGCGGAACAAATTATCATAAGAAAACCTTTACATGGTATCAAGAAAGAAATTTAAATGATGCAACTGTCATGTAGAATTACTGAAATGTGGATCTTAGCTAAACTTACAGTACAATATGTCGCCAGTATTATCAGCCACCTCTCACTATCGGTTGCTTATATGCTGTCTAATTACCTATTGACAATTCCAATTCTAAACTACTTATAACTGCTCAGATGAAATGAAAACACCCCTTTACATAAAGGGTGCCTTTCCTTGAAAAAGGATATAGTCATATACAGTTTGAAAACATCCATCGTTTCAACTAAAAGGTGTCAAATAATGCATACTTGAACTATCTAAAATCAGGATGTTATTATGCTAATGGATTTTGATTACCATGATCATAGTTACAAGGTGAGGTGGTGCAGCGTCAATGCAGCTTTAGAAGTCTATAAGAGCAACGAATAATTAGAAACACAGTAGCAGTGTTGTCCTAAACGCTAAACGGTAAACAGTCCTACCATTTAGCCATTATTCAGGCTATACGGTCCATTAAACGAGCTAAACGTCCAATTAAATGGGATAAACAGGCGATTAAATGGAAGCGGCATACCCCAGTGTAGCCTTTACAGTGTTTAAACTTAGGAGAATATCGCACTTTTGAGTATTAACATGTAATCTTAACAACAGGATCAGAAAATATAACATATATATTATGTTTTCCATAAGATAAGAAGCATATAATACTTACATTATGTATCTCCAAATGAGCAGGCCATGATGATAGCTTTTTCTTGCCAGGCCTCACAGTTTTCATAACTCGATCACACCTTATCACAAGGTTCTTGGTCAGCAAAGTGCTAACAATGTCTTCCACTTCTAAATCCTTATCTGGCCCCAAAATTTCCCTGACTTCTGGATGATTCTTGATGAAGGTATTGAAATCTTTTCCACGAAAATACTCCACACGGGTTTCTTGCATGATTGCCCATCTTGATTCCAGTTGTTTGTTATCCCTAACCTTCTCAGCGAACAACTGATAAACATCTTTCTTCGAGACTGACTTCTCCTAGATAATAGAAGAGCATCAAAGAGTTAACGACAATGGCGGAAAGCACCCTAGCACCATCTCAAGCTGTGGCACACCAACTTTTCCTGCTTATCCCGAAACAATCAAGAATAACCCTTCTAAACCCATGATTAATGAGAGAGCCTTCCCAGGCCAAGGAAATGAAATCTTCTAACCACCATTCCATCCACAGGACCCAATTTACACATACCACGGGTTTCTGCAGATCTACGAAAATCTTGAATGAGGAAAAAATAGCCAACATCTAGCTAACCATGCGAAAACCCTAATAAAATTCCGCAAAGCCGCATCGCATGAACCCTGGAGAAATAAAACAGACGAATCTAACGACCGCGGCCCCCGAATGCACAGCAAAATGTTGGTGGCACCAGCAGCATCTACAGAAAATCTAAAACACCCACGGATGACCAGGCAGGCAACGTGTGGAGCAGAGCGGAGCGGAGGGATCAAGCTCACCTGAGGTGCGGCGCGGGAGGAGCGCGAGACGGGGCCGCCGGCCTTCTTCCCCTTGTCCTTGTCCGCCGACTTGGCGGCCGTGGCCTTGGCTCCCTTCCCGCCATCTCGTCGGAGGAAGGTGGAACCTTACCTGACTGAGAGCGCCGGAACGGAGCGAGAGTCAGGCGGATCTCACGGCAGATTCGACCAAATGTTTCGGGGGATTGGGGAACCTCGGTTCGCACTACAACTGCGCGCTGGAGCAGCGGGAGGTGCGCTGCGCAGGCCCAACTCACAAGAGGGATTGGAAACAGTGGGCCACGGGCCCCCTAATCGTTAAGAGGACTCAACGTGGACGTATTGTGCGTATCCTCTCGTGTGGTGTGAGCTCCCTACTTTTTTTTTAATGTGGCCCTTTAAAAAAAAATCACGTTTAGAACCATGGGTGACGTAAACTCAACTTTGAACCCTTTTATCGGCGCCATGACTTTGTCGAAGTGTTGATATTTACTAAGGTTTAGACATGGAGGTCTGGAATTTTACCATGACTTGGACATCGACAAATTTGAGGTTATCATGAAACCAAATCCTAACATACATATCCGAGTCATAGTAAAAATCATAAGCTCAAGCTAAGTATGTGATTTTAAATGAGATGGACATATGTATATTTACCACGGGATGGTCTGATTTTTTACCATGGCTAAATTCAACATTGACGAGACTTGTTTTGTTGTCATCACCTTAGAGATTACTCAAACTCGTAGTAAGTTATCAAATTGATTTGCTATAGAAATTTTGAAGATCATTGAAAAATTAGAGTCCAAGTCATATAAATTTACACTTAAGGTTTAAAATCGAGGCTCGGTCTGTCAGAGATCATGGCGTCGATTCACGGTAGCCGAAAACTCACAACCACGTCGCCGCGCCGTCCCCAACCATGCAATTCCTGGCCTCCGACCTCGGCGCCATGACCTATGGTGCCGAGGGCGCAGTTACCTCAGTAGCAGTGGGTCATGGCGCGTAGAGGTTGGAGGCCGAGGTGCGTGGTTTGGGGACGTGGCAACGACTCCTAACCACGTCAACGCCACGTCCCCAACCACGCAATTCCTAGCCTCCGACCACGTGTTACCTCGGCGCCGTAGGTCATGGCGCCGAGAAAAGGGTCCAAAGTTGAGTTTACGTCGCTCAGGGGTCTAAACGTGAATTTTTAACAAAAAATGGGGCCAAATTGCAAAAAAATAGGTGTGACCTCTACACTTGTGCTTTACTTGTGCTCTTTACAGTTCCTTGTATAGAGATGTTAGGTTTTGTTCTCCCTAGGGTGTTGATCTTGTTATTGGATGTTTAGGACTGCTCCATAAACTCTGTTCCACTAAATTCACCATGGAGCAGTTCTACAAAAACTGGAGTTTGTGGAGCACCTCTTCAGGTGCTCTCACAACTCCACCATTTTTTCTCGAACAGAGTATGTGGAGCTGAAACCGTTTAGCTAAAAAACATAGAGTGGAACTAAAAAACGTGGAGCGGAGCAGTCCCAAACACCCCATTAGTTTACCAATTCTAGTGATCTAGCTTAGTTGTTTATGTTGCTATCTAGAATTGTGTATTTGCTCATCCTAGACTTGCATTCTTGCAAAAATCATAGTTAGAAGCAGTGGTTATTTCAGCCTCTTAACGGTTTGCCTAAGTGTTGTGCTTTGTATAGATTTTAATTTAGTTAGGCTCACCCCTCTATCTATTCATATATTTATTTATTTTTTCCAGCCACCAGCTGCCGTGATACATCCATAAGTTAGTTAGGCTAATTGGCTTCCCATTCAAATTTACTAATTTCAATTTGCGAATGTTTGTAAGGTCTGCAAGGTTCTCAGTTCCGTGATAGTATAGTATTATACATGCCAAATACGTATTGACAGCTCCAACGCCAGCAGAGCCCTAGAACTAGAACCTCTATGACAGGGCGTGACCGCGTGAGGCCATGGAGTTGAACCTCCATGTGCAGGAAATCAATGGTAATGCTATGTCCAAGACATCCGTCCTGCCGACGAGGTTTTCTTATATGTTCTTATATGTGTTTCCCTTCTAGCACCATATTTTTTTTTAAAAAAAATATCGCCACAGCGCCTCGAGTCCATGACAGCACTCCGCGACCGCGCCTCCCGCTCACCTTCCTCTCCGCCGCCGCGCTCGGCACATCTCGCACTGCTCTGTGCCCCGCGCCATGCCCCCATCCACCTCGCTCGTCGCAGAGAAGGAGGCGGGGATGCCTGAGCACACCCCCCATCTAGCACACCCGTCGACGAAAAAGGGAGGCCTCTGCAGCTGCGTCTGGGGTGTCTGTTGGACCGTTGCTCTCGACGTACCCTTGATCCGAGCTTCTTTAGTTACGGAGTTCCCACCGGTAGGTTGTGATTGCCGACGCGTCCTTTGCTTTTCAAGTGTTTGAGACGTTTCAAACTTATGTTTCAAGTGTTACATCTGGATATTGCAAAAATAGATCTAGGATGTTTTATATGTTGCAATGACAATACACAAATGTTTCAAGCCTATGTTCAAAGTGTTTCAGTTGTTTCAGATGCATGTTTCAAGTGTTTTCATCTGAATGTTGCATATGTTTGCTATGGATACACACAAGTTTCAAGTGTTTGTTTTCATGTGCTTCAGATATTTCAGACTTATGTTGTAAAAGTAGATTTGGATGTTGCATATGTTGCTATGGCTATACGCGCATATTTCAAGAGCATATTTCAAATGTTTTATTTGTATGTTGGAAATGTTTTATCTTTATGTTTCAAAAGTAGATCAGGTGTTACACATGTTGCAATGCGCGCTGGTGGCTGACGGTAGGGATGAAAACGGATCAGATCCGCTTTTCTTTGTTGGATTCGGTGCGGAGCGGGTAATACACGGATGTGGATGCGGATTTTTTCGGATGTTGGAAGTGATCTGAATATGGAGTGGAACCGGATCGAAGACAAATTTAATTAGTCGAGGAATATTGCATACATAAAGAATTATAAGCTTGTCAAGAATTGATTTAGTAAAGAACCAAGAACAAGCAAAAGATAATATAAGCTTGCATTGCATTCCATATTGCGGCTATCACACTATAATTAACACTTAACATGATATTTTCACTAAAAAATAATAAGTTATTAGCCAATAAATAATAACACCAAATAAATTCTTAATTTTAAAATTAGAACATCAAACAACCACATCACAAAATAAGAGTTCTCAACTAACAAACTTTTTTAAACCCCAAATTCTTTAGTCTAGGAAGAGAAACTTTTGGATATCCTATTTTAAACACCGAATAATCCGCATAGAAATTGCAGATAATCCATATCTGCCGGATTTTACCTATTCCACATCCTACCCCGCATCCGCACAAAATCAGTTTCGGATTATCCATATCCTCAAAATTCAGATTCGAATCGGATCGAATCGGAGAATTATCCCCACCACTTTCACCCCTAGCTGACAGACAGCGGCCTGCCGTAGGTGCTGCTACCAGGGCGCTGTCGTGGTTCATGTGCGGGCGCGGTAGGCCTAGTGCTGCTGCCAGGGCGCCGCCGTGGTTCACGTGCGGACGCGGGGGCGCGATTCTAGACACTGGCGCGCGATGTGGGCGGGCGTCGAGTGCAGGCACGGAGCTGCGTCCGGACGGACGCTGCCTCCGGAACGGGAGCTGCGTCCGGATGGACGTCGAGTTACGGACGTCCAGACGCTAGTCGTCCCGGGAAATCAAACAGGCAATCCAAAGGAGGCAACCGGACATCCCGGTGGCCTTGCAGCACCTCTTCTTCGACGGTCGTGAGCTCACATCGACCAAGGCCTTGTTTAGTTCCCAAAAATTTTCATCCCAAAACTATCACATCGAATCTTGCGGCATATGCATGGAGTATTAAATATAGTTAAAAAAAAATTAATTGCACAGTTTGTTTGGAAATCGCGAAACGAATGTTTTAAGACTAATTAGTCCATGATTAGCCATAAGTGCTACAGTAACTAACATGCGTTAATGATGGATTAATTAGGCTTAATAAATTCATCTCGCAATTTCAAGCGAGCTATGTAATTAGTTTTTTTAATGGTATTCGAAAAGCCCTTCTGATATCCCCGAAACATCCAATGTGACATCCAAAATTTTTATTTCACGAACTAAACACATTAAAAACTCCCATCTCGCCTACAAGCCCAGCCGTAGATCATCTAGAGTGTTTTGTTTCGATTGAAAACAACCATCTCCAATGTGTGATGCAACGGATTATAGTACACTCTGAGGTGGTCCATCTTCTTTGCACTCCTCATTTTTTATTTGGTTTGTAAAAAAAGTGAGTTGATTTATCATCATCTTAATCCTCACAAGCTAATAATTAATATATGTATAAAGAATGGGCTGATTTCACCAAAATTTATGGGATGAAGTTATGATACATCACCTCATGAAATCTGATGACTCCACAGACAAACACACCGTTACTAATCAGTATATGTACTTTCTCGTGTGTGCAGTGAGCGCCATGGATCTGTTAAACTTGTCTTATAATCGTCTTTTTCAGCTTATTTTTCAACCGAAACCGTGTTTTTTCTCACAACAAATTAATCGGAACAGTGTTTTAACTTGTTTTTTCAGCGAAGCGAACGGGGTGGTGTTCCCAAATGTGTTCACGCTTTGCCTGAACGAAGAATCTGTCCCTGTCTTATCTATCTTTGGTGAAAACAGAAGCATGGATAAATAACATGGCTGTAAGGCTGTAAGTTCATTTCAGGATATCATTGGCACTTGACCATCACAGCAGCGCAAAACATTTCAGGCACGAGCTATTCCAACCAGACCCACAAAAGAACCAGGAGGGTCATGGAATTTTTATTCTTCAGTTCCAACCGCAAAGTTTGGAGAAGGAATTCACGCAGGAGACTACACAGAGGAAACCTCAAACTGGACAACGCACGGCACCACGACGTACACTGACGAAGTGAGGATGTTCAGACAATGCAAAACAACAAGACACCATAAGCTAAGGCACGAGCTTAACTAGCGCTAAGGGTATCAGGTGGATGACGATCTCCGCATCCTTCTCTGCTTTGCTGCATTTTGTGTGAAAGGTAACAGCAGCGCTCCAGTCCTGCAACAATGGTAGGGTGGTTCAGAAACAGAGTTCAGCAAGGTTACAGGCCACCAGTGTGAACGATTTTGCAAGGGAAATGCCATCACAACAAACCAATCTACTACTACTTGCAGGATTGTACACCCAAAGCTTCCCATGAACAACTGCCAGACATAGCGACTGCCTGCAGTCCTGCACTGCATACTTTTCTTCAATTTTTCACATGTGACTGTTACTACCAACGACCTGGTCTCTACAACTACAACCTAGTCCAGATGGCATGTTTTGAGCTAACATCTTGCTATGCTACATGTTCTATTAAGTTCATCAAATGCATATCTCTGCTTGAATCAAACAGTGTGTGTAGTCTGAACATTTGAACAGAGTATAAAATCTTGTATATCGACATGCACTGAATATATGACGTTTCAAAATGACAACTTGTAACAACTATTTCTAGTGTCTATCAGAATTCTGGATTTTTGGAAATTCAAAGGAATAGCAAGTTCGGGTATTGCATTTAGTCAACACACCTTAAATCAATTAAAAAGGATTCATGCTTATGCTAAAGCTATCGCTTTTCCACTAGTATTCTAGTTAGTCAAAGAGTACTAAAAACAATAACAAGTACTAAACTGATGAATCATCATACGAATGAATGAATTGGCAACATGGAAGAACAAAGATGGTACTAGATCGACAGGCAGCAGATAGTAGTAGTACACAGTTGCCATCTCCTAGCATAACAAGTTCAGATAAGTACTAGCAAAATCTCTATGACTAGTGACGTCATAGTAGACTAAGCTTTTCAGTATAATTGATCCATGGAGAGACTACAAAGCTACAAAATGGTCAGGTTTTGGAAACTTAAAGCCTACCAAGTTCGGCTATTGCATCGTGTAGTAGTACAGAACTTAGCTTGTCAACACAAAAGGCGTATTTAGTGCGAGAGCTCTCGCTCTGTCACGAAGTCCAGGAAGAGGTGTCGAGTGGCAAGCCTTACCCTCGCCTGTGCAATGCGAGGAGACCGCGACTCGAACCCAGGACCTTCCGGTCACAGGCGGTAAGACTCTACCGCTTGCACCAGGCCCACCCTTCTTAGCTTGTCAACACACCAAAAATCAAATTTAAAAGATTCATGCTCATGCTAAAGCTGTCTCTTTTTTCATTGGCATTCTCGTTAGTCAAAGAGAACAGACTAGTACTTACTGAACTGGTGAATACATACTCCATATGAAGAACTGGAAACATCTTGGAAGAAGAAAACAGTACTGACTAATAGTATGGCATTAGATCAACAGGTAGAAGATAGTAGTAGTACCTCAGTTCAGTTGTCATCATCGTCATCATCGTCGTCGTCCTTCTTGATGCGGGTGGTTCCACCCTCTTTGCTTATGGGCAGCTTCATGTTGCCGAAGGGAGTGTCGACATCAATCTTGCCCTTGATGGTGTATCCCGTGCCCTTTCCCTGATCATGTCCCAGACAGCGGATCCGAAGTCCTTGGGACTGAAGCTGAAGGGCACCTGCATCCTGGTGATCCCCTGCTTCTCGATCTTGGCGGTCTGGGTGAGCTCAGCAGAGGCGATGCTGTCGTCGCCGAGCCACATCTCGTACTCGAGCAGGTTGAGACCGAGGTCGAAGTCGTTCTTGTTCTCGAGCTTGAGGTGGAGCGTGGCGGTGGTCTCCTCGAAGGAGAAGTGGTGGAACTTGATCTTCTCGACGTCGACGTCGGGCTTGTACGGGACGGGGATCTCGCCGTCCTTCTGGATCGGGATCTTGATGCGGCCGATGATGGGGACGTCGACGAGGAGCACGACGCGGACGAGGTAAGGGATGATGCTGCCCGGCTGGATGTCCTTGTAGGTGCTCTTGATGTCGTCGAAGACGAGCGAGACGGGGATCTTGACGGTCTCCTGGCCGTGCGCGTGGATGGTGCCGGCGTCCGGGATGAGGCCGGACACGAGCTTGCGGCCGTCGCTGTCGATGAGGTAGTCGATGTCGACGAGCGGGATGGGCACCGGGTTGGGGTTCTTGATGAGCACGTCCACGACGAGGTCGGCGCGGTGGAGGCTGATGTGCGGGATGTGGATGCCGCACACGTCGGCTGTGGGCTTGCCGAACCCGACCGCCTCCTCGATCTTCTCGCCGATGTCGTGGATGAAGTCCTTCACCTTTTCGATGAAGCCGCCGCCGCCGCCGCCCTGCTCCTTGTCGCCGTCCTCGTGCTTGTCCTTGCTGCGCTCGGTCACCGTCACCGTGGGATCGTTCTCCGCCGACGACGACATGCTCGCTCTGCTAGACTGCTACTCTGCTAGAGAGAAAGGTGGAAGCAAGCCAAGAACGCGAGCGTGCGTGCGTGAGATACAGATCGGTGGGCGAGATCTGAAGCGCGAGTGCGAGTGCGAGATGTTAAGAGGGGACGGAGGAGAGGAGTGGTGGTTGACCTGAGGGGGATCCGCAGGGGACGAAGCGAGTAGAAACCGCGTGCCGTGCCGGTGCCGTGCCTGCGGGAAGGATGGTCGGGCGGAGGGAGAGGAGGTTGGTGGGGCCGTGGGGGAGCTCGGGGTCGAGGGCCGAGGGCCGAGGCTGCCAACGTGCCAGCACGAAGGCAAAGGACTCACTGGCGTGGTGCTTGGTGTGGTGGTGATGAATGATGACTGACAGAGGCAGCAAGCACGTGTATGAATGTGGGTGGACCGACCCTTTTGTCAATCCACAGCTCAGCTTGAGCGATCGCCGTCGTCGATTGGAGGAGCGGAGCGGAGAGCCGGGGAATGGAAGTCGGCACGACCAAGCCAACAACAAACGGCTGGAATTTGGCTGGGTCAGCTGGGGGGGGTCTCGTCAGCAGCAACAATCCGTAGATGGCCAGCTCACGAGTTTCGCTAAACGGTAATGCTCTGTAACGAGCATCCGGCTGCCCGGACCGGACGGACCCGACTGCCTCCGTGTCTCGTGCCTCGCGCGCGTACCCACGTCTGTGCCTCGCGCCACTTACGCCTCGCGGCTGGTGCTATGCTCTGCCGCACCACATGCCTCCTGCCCAAACTCGCGCTGCGTATAACGGAGGTTCGACCTCCACGCCGTGGCATCGAGCTCCGTGCCGACGTGAAGCTCTGCGTCAACGATCGTCTATTGGAGGCAGCAAGTAGATGAGCACATGTTGCAAACAGTATGTTTCATACATTTCAGATGTATGTTGCATATATTTCATCCATATGTGTGTAAAAGTAGATGTGGTGTTGCATATGTTACAATGACTATACACGTATGTTGCAAAGTGTATGTTTCAAACGTATGTTGCAAATGTTTTATCTGGATGTTGCATATGTTGCACTTGTTATACACGTATGTTGCAAGCGTATGTTTCAGCTATTTCAAACGTATGTTGCAAGCGTGTTTTATCTGGATGATGCATATGTTGCAGTACCCATACACATATGTTGCAAGCGTATGCTGTAAATGTTTCATCTGTTTCGGATGTATGTTGCAAGTGTTTCATGAGCAGGCGCGGCAAGGGGGCGCAGGTGAAAGGTGGTCCTAGGGCGCAGCGGTCCCCGCGTGCGCGTGGGAAGCGAAGCGGGCACGACAGTAGGCGCCGAGCACAAAGACATCCATGGACGTGGCAGCAGGCGCGGAGCACGAAGCTACATTATGGGCGGGTAGCAGGCGTGGAGCACAAAGCTGCATCCATAGGGACCCTAAAGGTATCATTATTGAAAACAAGCGGGCTGCAGGCACGGGCGTCAGGACGTCCGAGCACTAGTCTCTCTATTCACTGAAAGCAATTAAAAGATGCAGAGAGAGACATGTGTCTCTAGCTTCTAATAGATCCGTGCGAGTAGCAATTTATGGCCCAACAATGCATCTAGAGCCTCAACAATGGCGGGGGTTGTCGTGGAGCCCTATGATTAAGGGAGCGCGGGGTTGAGGGGACTGTCGGTGTTTTGAGTTGCTATCGACTAGTAAATTTCTAATATTGCGCGTCTGCCTTGGATGGTGTGCTAAGAGGACACGAGGTTTATACTGGTTTGGGTAGAATGTCCCTACGTCTAGTTCGTTGCTGTTGCTCGTGTTACTAGCACTGAAAGTTCATAGTAGGGGTTACAAACGGTTGAGAGAGAGACAAGTCCCAAGTCTCTGGTGAGAGGAGCGAACGGGTACCGAGAACTCGATCGCTTCCCGGCTGTGTTCTTGTGTGTTCTGATCGGTTTGAGATTCGATGGGTTCCTGTCCCCTTTATGGGACGCCCTGCTTTCCCTTTTATAGGCCAAGAGAAAGCATGGGTTACAGTGGAAGGAAAAGAGAAAAATGAGAAGGAGAAGAAGTCCTCCAGGATCATGGGGTCCTTCTTTTTCCTTCACACGGGTCCCGCCGACCCTGTAGACGTCAACAGGGACAGCTCCACGTCGCGGCCCTGTCCGTCACTAGCGCCATGCGCAGGCATCATCTCCTGGTCGTGGCGCTCTACTCCGTCCTGGCAGACGTCGTGGTGAACTGACGTGCCTGTCAGTGCTCGTACGAGGGTTAGGCAGAACAGCACCGGTACGCCCAATGTTGTTCCTGATGTAAATCCCTAGGTATGACCCGTCACGGCCACGGGTTATATCGAGGCGTGTCGGTCACCTCCCTGGTGTCAGAGCATTGACCCAGGCCCATTCGCTTGGACCTAGAGTGGTTGGCTATGGTATCGGTCTCCATCGGACGAGACGAATCCTCCGGCCTCGGGATCGGTCGAGGCAGAGTCCCTCCTTAGAGGCCGGGTGAGGCGGAGCGCAAACCCAAGGGTCGGGCTAGGCGGAGCCTGCCCTAGAGGCTAGGCAGAGGCAGAGCCTGCCCTTAGAGGCCAGGCGAGGCGGAGCCCGCGACCTCAGTGTCGGGCGAGGCAGAGCCTACACTCAGAGGTCGAGAGAGACGGAGCGTAAACCCAAGGGTCGGGCGAGGCAGAGCCCGCCCCCAAAGGTTGGGCGAGGCGAGAGCCCGCCTCGAGAGGCCGTCGAGGCGGAGCCAACCCTTAGAGGTCGGGTGAGGCGGAGACCAACGGCCTCGATGTCGGGCAGTGAGCTCGCCCTCAAAGGTCGGGCGAGGCAGAGCCAGCGGCCTCAATGTCGGGCGAGGCGAGCCCGCCCTCAGAGGTCGGGTGAGGCAGAGCCCGCGGCCTCGGTGTCGGGCGAGGCGGAGCCCATCCCCAGAGGTTGGGTGAGGCGTAGCCCCCCCTCAGAGGCCGTGCGAGGTGGAGCCTACGGCCTCGGTGTCGGGCGAGGCGGAGCCCGCCCCTAGAGGCCAGGTGTAAGGTCAAGATGGCGACTAGAGGGGGTGAATAGTCATTTCTAAAACTTAATCGCATTGGCTAACCGAAATAAGTGCGGAATTAAAACTATCGGTCTAGCCAAGACTACACCGCTCTATCTATGTTCTCTAGCACCTTGCAAAGATCCTAATTAAGCAACAAATGTGTCGAGCTAACTAGAGCTCACCTAAACAATTCTAGGAGCAAAGTCACACAAACCTATGCCACTAGTATTTCAAGCAATAAGGGAGGTCCTACACATGTTAGTAAGCAAAAGTACAAAGCCAACTAAGCTCACTAGCAATGCTCAATAACAAAGCAACCAATGCCAAATTAGAGAGTGCAAATACTTAGCTACACAAACTAAGCAAAGTGACTAACAAGATTACACAAACCAAATTAGCCATTCAAGGGAGCTACTTCTATGCTACACTAGCAAGAAGATAACCAGTGAGCTACACAAGCTAACTAATTACAAGAGCAACTACACAAGCACAATATATATAAAAGTAATCACAAGCTTATGTAAGGGGATTGCAAACCAATGGGAAAAACAAGGTTGACACAATGATTTTCTCCCGAGGTTCACGTGCTTGCCAACACGCTACGTCCCCGTTGTGTCGACCGCTCACTTGGTGGTTCGGCAGCTAATTGGCATCACCTACCAAGCCCGCACGTTGAGCACCGCAAGAACCTACCCCAAAAGTGAGGGTAGCTCAATGACACGCTCAACTAGAGTTGCTCTTCGTGGCTTCCGCGGGGCGAGCACAATGCCCCTCACAAAGCTCTTCTCCGGAGCACCGCACAAGCTTCTTGCGGGCTTCGACGGAGACCACCACCACTAGCAGCCTAGGAGGTGGCAACCTCCAAGAGTAATAAGCACCACCAGCTTACAACTCGATCACCTAGTGCCACTCGATGTAACCTCACGATGTAATCGCACTAGAATTGCTCTCTCACATAATCGGATGATCACTATCAAGCATATGTGAGATGGAGGGCTTCTAAGCACTCTCAAGCATGGACACAAAGTCTCCCAAGGTGCTCCACCCAAGCCATGGCTGAGACCACCTTCTATTTATAGCCCCATGGGCTAAACTAGCCGTTACCCCTTCACTGGGCAAAATTCGGGATGACCGGACACTCCGGTCATATTGATCGGACGCAGGACCCCAGCGTCCGATCGCACGATGCACGCCACGTGGCACCTGCTTCAAATATTGAGCGCCCGATCTCAATAGTTAAGTTGCGACCGAATGCAGCACCATGAATGACCGAACGCTGCTTTGCCTGAGTCCGGTCGTTTCCAGAGAGCTCCCCGAGCCTCTGTTTTGCGACCGGACGTGTCCGATCCACCATGACCGGACGCAGACCAGCGTTCGATCAGTTCTGTACCTGCGCGCCTAACTCCAGCGCCGCCTGCGTCACCATACGTCAGCACTGACCGGACGCAGACCCCGAGCGTCCAGTCACTCTTCGCGCCAGCGTCCGGTCACAAGACCGAGACCGCGCGTTCGCTGCTGCCACTGATCGAACGCAGGACCCAGCGTCCGGTCACTGTGTGACCAGCATCCGATGCACTCTGTGAAACCCCATCTTTTCTATATAGGGCGCCGGTGGCACCGTCGGACTGTCCGCACTCTACGGGCAGACACTCCATCCGTGAAGTTTCACCTTTCGCCTCCGTTTCTTCACCGAGTTGATCCACATCAACTCCAACTTCTTCTCCTTTGTAAATGTGCCAACACCACCAAGTATACACCACCATGTGTATGTGTGTTAGCATTGTCACAATCATTTCCCAAAGGATTAGCCACTCAACTTGCCACGCCACTCGATCCTAGCGACGATGTAAGGTTAGATCACTCGAGTGGCACTAGATGACCGATATGCAAACAAGTTTGCCCTCTTGATAGTATGGCCATCTATCCTAAATCTGGTCATAAACTTCTCTACACACCTATGACCGGGAAATGAAATACCCTAGGTTATACC